ATGAAGTGCACAGAGGTACCGTCGCCACGTGCGTGGTGTATGGAGCGACGTGAATTGAGCATCGGGTGGAACAGACGGGTTCGATGAAGTCAGTCATGACACCGCCATCCGGGGAGATCCGTACAACCGGAAAAGAAAAAAATTGAGGAGGACCAGGTGTGTTTGAATGGGGCTGGGCCTGTATAGAGGGGGTATGGGGTTGGGGGGAATTCAGGGGGTAAAGTTGTCTACGTCTTCGTAGGTCTTGTTTGGGTCAAAGGTCCAGGCTGCCTGGAATGTGTGTGTTTGGGCTACATTCTTGGAAATGTTAGTCGCTAAACGCTCRAGGGGGTCCGTGTTATTGTGCTGGCTGGTGCCATCTGGGAACAGGATGGCAGTGCTGACCTTTTTCCACACGGGGAAATAGGTTTGACAGTTGGGGAGGTATACGCCCATGTAGCGGATACTGGGGAGGTCGTGGTCAGGAAGTGGATCTGTCTTGTATAGGACCAAGGTGAGAAGGAGGTTGGTATCTGCCTGGGCGGGGCCAATGACCCGCTCTTCGGGCAAGGGGTTCGTTTGCGTGGTGCAGGAGAGGGTCTTTAGACCCATATGGGTACATAGCCACGTGTCGAGTGTGGTCAGGGGGTCGCTGTTCGCAGTGGGAGCAGCTCCGAATTGCGCTCTGTAGTTATTTGGGTCGAGGGGGTGTGCATACGTGAACAGGTGCAGTAGTTTGTATGCAACCTCGAAGTTCTGGATGGGCTTGTCCTTTTGGACAAGCATAGAGCAGTTGAGGCCGACGTTGGACTTKGTGTTGTTGAGGTGGTTGGCAATGGTGGTTCCGCGTTTGTTGGGAAAGAAGACGTCGAACTCACGCAAGACAGAGTCTAGGTCGACGTTGACAAAGTTGCTGTTGTGGACCATTTTGCCGTTTTTCTTGTGCCGTTTCACGTTGTGCATGTCCCTAGTGGTGGTGAGGGGGGCAGGGAGTTTGGAAGCACGGACAGCCGTGTTGAACAGGCTTGCTGGTTGGGTGCCGCCACCGGTTGGTGCGGTGGGTGTACCCGTYGTGGGTTGTTGGGTGCCTAACCCCCCGAACCCGGCGGTGTGGGTGGGGGTGCTAGGTGGGGGCGGGGCAAAACCGCCAAAGGCTGCTGGTTGGGCAGGGAAGGGGCCGTGGCCAGTGTACTAGGTGGGGGCGGGGCAAAACCGCCAAAGGCTGCTGGTTGGGCAGGGAAGGGGCCGTGGCCAGTGTACTGGGTGGTAAAGGGAAATTGACCTGTCTGGGCACTGTTGTTTGGAGAAACGAAAGGGCCGGGGGTCAAAAAGACTTGGGCGGTAGTCTGGAGTGATTGGGCGCTGGAGGCAATGCTCGCGGCACTGATGTTCAGGCTTTCGTGGGCGGAAAGCATGAGCTTGCTGAGTTTGAGGCGATCCAAGGTGGCGCAGTGGCGCTTGCAGGATTCAGTAGTTTTGACAGCCAAGGCAAGGTCGGTGACTGAGTCGGTGAGGAAAGCCAGGAGG